TATACAACTCACCATGATGCAGAATCAGTGGGACCCCCGAGTTTGTTTTTCTGCAACTAGACGGTCCCATCTGGAAGCTTCTATGAGAATCAAATGCTGCTGCTGATCGGAGAGGAGTAGCTCGGGCAGTAATGAGCACGATGGGGAGCAGCTGTAAATACAGATGAGGCTTAGCTCACTCACCCGGTGCTCACCTCCAGCTGTGCAGCCTCATACCTAACAGGTGGGAAACTGGTGGCCCCAGAGGCTTTATAGTATATTCTGTATCTTTGCGAGCCACTGCACAACCCATTGTCCAGGCCTGGGAGTCAGCCTTGATTCTACTTTTTCTTTATTCCCCACATTCAATACATAAGTATCAAGTGCTACTGGGTCTGCTCTGAATCAAACTGCCCTCCATCTCCAGAGCCACATTCTTAGGTTGGGCCTCACTGCTTTGCATAAGGGGATACTCTTACTTTCCGTGTTCCCCTCCATAGTCCAACAGCAGGATTTTCTTGAAATACAAATCTGTTGCTTAAGTTTTTTGGTCTTTCCCTCTATCCTTCACGATCTTACCTTTTCCTATTGCTCTTCATTTCTCTCTGCTCACTTTGCCCTTTAATTTAGCCACACTGGGAGACTTTCAATTTCCTCCATGAGAACTGGGGTTTCTCACCCTGGTACATCCACAGTTCTATTCCCTACATGGCAAACCTTCCCTACATCATTTAAATTCCTTCTTTTAATAATATCTACTGAGACCAGCAGATGTTGTAATGGTTATGTTACTGGACTCCTACGTAGTCAACCATGGCAGCTTAAAACTCATACTGGCGTGTGTGCCTATGTGCCCACAATCGTGAGAAGAGACTAGAAGAGAAGGGATTGTGGTGTGGCCATACCTCTTGGAGGGGTGATTTCTTGCATTCTCTGTCTCTCTGGTGAGTACATGTACCCTATAGCAAATCTCTCTCTCTTTTTTTAAAAAAATCAATTTTTCAATTTTTTTTTTTTTTTTGGCGTTATGGTATATGTACTCTCCAGAGAGACAGAGGCAATGAGAGAAAAAGTGAGAAATCATCCCCCAGTGTGGAAGACCATGCCAAAATCCCTTCTTCTCTATTCTCCTCCTGGTATCTTCAGCACTCATGCACATGTGTCTGGCATGCTTTTCAAGCCACTGGATCCAGGATTCAAACTGCAGTTGTCCATGTGGGAGTCCAGTGACATAACCACTATTCCCTCCACTGGCTCCAATAACTACTATTTTAATTTAGGATATTTTGTTTGCAGAATTACTAAATTTAACATCTTGAAAACAAATTTTAAAAAATTATGATCAGAACATTTGTGTTTTCTTTCTTCTATGAGGGGACTTCAAAAAGATTTTTTAGAAAAATGTAATTAAATTGCAAATTTATTTTGATGCAAAAAAATTTTAAAAGCCATATATAGGATTTCATAATATGTAATTTCCACGAACTTTTTGAAGACCACCCCCCCTCATAATTTAAAAAGTTGACTTGTGAGTGTTTTTAAAAGAGGAGAAACATTTTCATTTGTATAAGAATGAAAGAAGGAATGTACTCTCCTTGGCTTAATTGTTTCAAAGGGTTTTTCTTTTTTCCAAGAGTATAGTTTTATTTTTCATTTTTATTTCAGCCTTTGACCACTAAACATTTTAAATTTGGACCAATATAATTTCTTCATTTATAAGGAGATTATCTTTGTATAAACTGTATACATTTTATCACATGATTACTTTTCAGGAATAGAAACACATTTTTTCTTTCTTTCTTTCTTTCTTTCTTTCTTTCTTTCTTTCTTTCTTTCTTTCTTTCTTTCTTTTAAGAGGCTTTTGCCATAGGGCGTATGCGCTTGCTGGGGAGAGAGAGACAGAGACAGAGATAGTGAGAAGGAAAGTGAGAAATCATCCCTGGGAGGATGGCCACACCATAGTCCCTTCTCCATTCTCCTCCCAGGATCTTAAGCACACATGTACACACGTCTGGTCAAGCCTTTGGGTCCGGAACTCAAACTACAGTTGGCCATGTGGGAGTCCAGTGACATAAACATTGCGCCATCTGCTGGCCCCACCATTGGCATATTACTATAATACTTGAATACCTATATTATAAATAAAGTATTTGAATAGAATAAAAGTCATGAAATTAATAGTTTATGCCCAAGTGGAACAAAATGTTTAGAATTACTTTTGTTGGTTATTTTTTTGTTGGTTGCTGTCTTTTTGAATAGCATTTTCTTTCTTTTTAAATTTTTAACATTTTGCCACAGGGTGCAAGATTTGCCAGAGAGAGACAAAGGGAGGAAAACAAAAAAGTGTCTGTCATGGGGAATGGTCATGCTGGAATCCCTTCTCCTCCAGTTTTCGTACCTTTCAGGCTTTTGGGCATGCACAGGTGCCCATGTTTTAGAAACTGCTGGGTCTAGGACTTGAACAATGTGATGGGCCATGTGCAGTCCAGCTCCCTTATCCACTAGCCACAGGGTGGCTTACTGTGGATATAGCTTTTTATTTTTTATTTACTCATTTTCTTTTTTGCTATAGGGCATGTGCGTTCACTAGTGAAAGACAGAAAGGGAAAGTGAGAAATTCAGCCATGCCTCAGTTTCTTCTCCTCCAGTCTCCTCTTGGCATTTTGGGCATGTTCCTGTATGTGCTCAGTGTGATTTTCAAGCCACCTGGTTTGGGACTTGAATTGCACAGTAGGCCACATGGGATCTAGTGCTTAATCTCCATGCCCCTTGCTGGTCCTTGATATATAGCTTTTTAAATACCAGATGATGGTTACTAAACCTGGAACAGTATCAGTAATTTATTCATTGTCATTGTGGGTGTTACTGTCCTAAAACAATATTAAACCCTCTTTCTTTAATTTAGTGTCGATATTATCTATGAAGAGAAAGGACAGAAAAAGCATGCTATTTTCTGCTTGGATAAATAGAGGTATAAACTCTTTAAGCATAAAGTGTTAATGCAAATATAAAACTCTTGTATAACGGTACAGAATTGGACTGTCAATAGAGTGCATAGGGAGGTACGGCATCTCTCAGCTTGGTCCTCTGTCAGGGCACCCAGTGCTATTCGTTAGAGGCGCTTTCTTAATGAGAACACAGAAGACCTTTATAATAACCATCTTCTAGGATTATCGCATCAAGAAAAGAATCAATGGCAATTTCTATGGCACTATCTAACTGCAATAGGGCCCTTGGACAGTAGTTCTCCTTCCTG